GCAACCTGGATCCCTCGCATGCACAGTTTACAGTAGGGTTCATGCTCCTATGAGAATCTAATGCTACCGCTGATCTGACGGGAGGCGGAGCTTACACAGTGATTTGAGAGATGGGGAGCGGCTTTAAATACAGATGAGGCTTTGCTTGCCTGCTGCTCATTTGTTGCTATGCAGCCCGGTTCCTAACAGGCCACAGACCGGCATCAGTCTGTGACCTGGAGGTTGGGGACCACAGATCTAATACAAAAGATTTTTTTATTTTAATAGATGAATTTAGCTCATTTACTGCTATGTTAGATATATTTGGTCCAAATTCTCTCACCTGTTTTATCTTATGCTTTCTGTTTTTATTGCTTCTTTTTTTCCCTCCTCATTATATTTTCTAGATTTTCCTTTTTATATCTCGTTTCTTCTTTAGAAGACTTATATTCTCGTTGCAGTGATTATCCTGTAACTAACTGTATACATTTAATCCTCCATGTTTTTATTCTCTTGATGCTTTAGAGATCTCACCTCGTCTTTGGTATTTTGGAATGTATCAGAAACATTTGTGTTAATGCTCTGCTGCTCCTTAAAAAATCACCACACAAAGCAGTGGCTTAAAACAACACACACTTGTTATCTCTCAGGTTCCGTGAGTGAGGAATGTAGGCATGGCTTAGCTGGGTCTTCTGCTTCATGGTCGTCAACAAGGCTGCAGTCAAGGTGTTGGCCCAAGGTGTGCAGTCTCATACGAAGGCTCAACTGGAGAAAGATTTGCTTCCAAACTCACTTAGCAGCTGTTAGTAGCACTCAGTTCCTTGCAGGTTGTTGGACTGAGATTGCTTTCTTTTAGGAGAGCTTATATTTGTTTCACCGAAAACCATGGACTGCCAGGTAGAAATCCCAACCTTGCTACCAGCCCCAGACTTGTTTTCCACAACTGTAGTGCTGAGACCAGTGCCAGCCCTGAGGGGAACCCACCCTTGTATGCGCTCGTCACTGATTGGTATATGTTTGTATGTATGTATAAATACAGCTGTGTATGTATTTCATATTTGTTTGCTCAGATATTTCTTTTACTTCTGGTGAGCTCAGCAATAGGAATTGTGTTTTTTGCAGTCACTAGCTGTTTTCTACTGGAAGAACAGCCCTGCCTCCCACAGAGTATCTAGTCTGCTGTTCCTGGAAGCAGGTGCAGCAGTCAGGCACCCTTCTCTTTAGGGCACCCTAACTCCATGAGCATGAGGAAGTACATGCATTTCCACCTCCAGGGTCCTCCCTCCCCTCCACTGCCAAATTTTATTATTCTTCTTCGTGGTCAACATTTTTCCTTTAGAAGTTCTTATATCTCAGTTTTTAAAATTTCTCTGTTATATTTTTGTTCTTCCCCAGCTAGAAAAGGTAAAGAAGTTGGTGTATAGAGAGGCAGCTGCCATGCTCCTGCCTCAGCCCACCTTCTTCCCAGGTGGTTCCTCTCTCTGCCTGGTCTGGGTTTCTGTCATTTGCATTCTGTCCTCTGACTCCGGTCCCCGCATTGGTTTCAGTCGATACCTTGATCAGTGCTCGCTGCTAGTCATTTGCTGTGGGTTCGCCAGTCATTTCTTAGTTGACTGAACATCATCCTTTGGTATTTTCTCCAAAAAAGGATTTTACTATTTGTAAGTTCAAAAATGTTTTTCTGTCGCCTAAATGCTTAAGTGGTGTCAGTTGATACACACTTCCTGGGCCACATGTTCATTCCTTCCTTGTGTCCTATCAGCCTCACCCATCGCCCCTGGAGTGATGCAGGTGGGAGACAGACATCTGCATGCAGCCTCGGCTCTTTTCCCACTATCCGGGACTCGATCTCTTTGCTTGGATGCCAGAAGGATTTTTGGCTTTGCCTTTGAAGTCCGGCAACTTTATCAGGACGTGCTGGGTCTGGGTTCATCAGCCTCTGCCATTTTCTCCTGGAACGGGGCTTTGCTTTTCAATCTGAGCCTGAGATCTTCTTTCAGTTCAGGTTAGGGTCTTGAATTTCTATTCAAATACCTTTTCTGTTACATTATTTTAGTCGTCGTCTTCAAGAGTTTTGTGCTTCTGACCCAGCTCGGGCTCCTTGACTTTCACAAACATCTCATTGGAGACGTGGAGAAAATGTAAGAGAAAGCCCCATCCTATGTGCCATCTGGAGCTGTCGTGGGGCTCAGGATGACACGCATCAGAGCACTTTGTCATTTGCAAAGTATGACATGAATGTCAGGTCTGGATCTAGCAGGCATCACAGGGACTACAAGCGTTCATGTAGTCCACTCTGTTTGTCCTGTAGTGAAAATCAATCACAGAACAATCACTTCTTGGTTTGGGCACACAGAGCAGTGCTGGTGGCTGAGCTTAGGGCAGAGGCTATAGTTCTAAAATCTGCTTTGCAGCTCATTGCCCTTTTCTGATATACCATTGTTCTAATATACCTTGTTCTAATGTACTGCTGTTCTAATATACCTTATTCTAATACACCACAGTTTATCCATTCTGCTGTTGACGGGCATTTGGCTTGTTCCAACTTGGAACTAATACAAACAGTGTTGCAATGAACTTTCTTGACAATGTCTTTGGTAAACATATACATACATTTTTTTGTTGTTGTTACATACTTAGGATTGGAATTGCTGGGTATCAGAATAGCTTTAGTAAATACTGCCAAAGAGTTTTCCAAAGCTGTTGAACTGAGTTAAAAATCTCACCAGCAGTTGACAACAGTTCCCATTGTGCCACATTCTTGCCGACGCTTGGTGTTCTCCATCGTTTTTATTCTAGGCACTCGAGTGGGTGTGTAGAGGTTCTAATGGTGCTTTTAATTTGCCTTCCCTGATGACTAAAGAAACCAAGCACCTTTTCATAGGCTTACTAGCCATTTAAATGTCCTCTCTTGTGAAGTGTCTGTTCAAGACTTTTGCCCATTTTTCTACCGGGTCTTTTTCTTAATCTATAAGAGTTCTTTGTTATTTTTAAAAAATATACTCTGGATACAAACACTTTGGTTATATGTATTAAAAATATCTCTCTTATGTATTGCAGATATATCTTCTCTCATTTTCTCATAGGTGTCTTCTGATAAACAAGTTATTTATTTTAATACAGTATAATTCACCAATTTTTTTCTTTAGGGTTATTACTTTTTGTGTTCTGTCTAAGGAATCTTTGCCTAACGTCATTCTCCTTTTCTTTGATGATTAGAAAAGTTTTATGAGAAAGCACTGTCTATAAAATGCATGTTAAACAGCGTACGCCACCTTCTTCCTCTGTCTCTTGATGTGGCAGTTACTTCTCCTAATCCCAAGCACTCCTACCCCATAAATTCACCTCCTGGGTCAGCCTTGTCTCATGAGCATGTGTCTGCACACGGACGCCACGCTTCTGAAGAGCTCTTAGGTCAAAGTGCGTGGAATCAAACATTTAATGAGGCACAGTTGGTCTTTATGGGACCAGCTGGTGCTGCACTGAAGGCTCTCATCTTTTTACCATCCCTTTGAGAGCTGAACAGTAATGGGAACATGTAGACTTTTCTGAACCCAAATGTGCAGTATTCCACTTGAATCATCGACTTCTTTAAGGGCAAAAATCAGCTCTGACATACTTGAAAAATGAGAAAGAGCTGTGGGCTTTTCTTAGCTCTTTTAAAAAGCCCCCTCCAGCTCTGCTTTCCTTCCCTTTCTCTTATTTTTGTCCCTTCAACTTCTAAACATTTTTTTTTAACTTTAGACAGCACAGTTGTGTGTCTGTTCCATGCAGATGTTTGAGATTACTTAGAACAGCAGACCTCTAAACTGAGCCCGGCACGCCATTTGTAAGCCACGCGGTGACAGGGTCCCCGCCACACCCTGGAGGATGATGTCTCCCTGCTCCCACTCGGGCCTTTGGGTTTGGCATCCTGGATCGCTGTGTCTTTAAAAGATCCTTAAGTGCATCTGTTCTCAATTTTCAGACCATGAGGCGAGGATTTGGGTGCAAGTAGTTTATCTGGGAAGTGATCCCGGGAAGCCCTGTGAGGGGACCAGGGAGGAGGAGTCAGGAAAGGTGCACTGATGGGTAGGTGACTGCTGGAGGCAACGGGCCATCCCACCAGGACCTTCCGAGAGATGCATGGAACTTGCCTCAGTGCCATCCCCCCAAGTGGGATGGGGGTTATGCAGCGCCTGTCCCTTTTGGTTGAAGGCGCTGTCTGCACATGAGTCCTCAGGGGAAAGACACTGGCTGTGTCTGCCTCAGTGATTTTGATAAATTGTCTCATTCTGAACACTTTGTTGATGTCCAAATTTCCTATTAATACAACTAGGAGTCTGTGTTTTTAAACACCTCTTCCTGTTTTGGTAGAATTATGTTAACTGTATATTTGTAGAGGTTCCAAAATTCTCTAGGTGAAATACTATAAGAAATTATGCACAGTTCAGCTGAGCTAGAGAGCAAGTGACCATAGGGAGAAGGGAATGTTGCCTCTGTAACCCTGTGTTCATGGGGTCCGAGCACTTCAGGGCCCTTTGATCTCACTTTTGTGCCTTGTAACGGCTGCCCATTCATGCAACCTCAGCTGCAGAGCTGCCTTTTCCAGAAAGCCCTCTCTTACAAGGCTTGATTCTATCCCTTTCCTATGTGCTCTGTGCGGCCCTGGGCATCTGCTTATCCCTCACTCCATTCAGTGGACAGGGTTTGTTTGCTGAGCACTCCTGGGAGGCGGGGGCTGCTGCTCCCGGCTGTGCCCCGCCTCTCATACCTCCTGGGTCCTTGGTAGCTGATGTTGGAACTGCTGTGCTCCATCCTGTGAAACAAGCCCTCCTTAGGAGGAAATGCACAGCATTCTGTTGATCTAAATGAACCAGTTGAAATGATGCACCTATTTTTGGGACATCCAGACCCGTGACACTCCCATTCCCCTATATGGTTCAAATCTCGAATGGTAATTGGGCCACACCTCCGAGCCCAGCTGCGACCTGTGCGTGTGGGCATTCTCCGCAATCACGGTTCCTTCCCTTGTCCTGCAGCATCTGATGTGCGCTGGGCTGTGGTGCCTGGTAGAAGGAGATTCGTCCTGCAAGACCAAGCTGGACCCTCCTCTGGATGGCACCGAGTGTGGGGCAGACAAGGTAACCTCTGGCCGCCCTCTGCCCCCAGCAGGCAGCCCCCCTGTCTCCTGGGTACCCAGCAACTCTCCTGCTGAAAGGCAGTCTGTACTCCGTGCTCAGGGGCCCTCAAAACATCCCTCGGGCACCACATAAGTGCCCACGGAGCCCGCTCCGGACACAGAGGGCTCCTACATCACCTCACTCCTTTTTCTAATAAGATATAAGAGTCATTTACTTTATGTTTTTGACAGATTAACTCCTTTTGTCAGATGAGTGAATTTACTTAAAACTTTCCATCAGTATATTTAAAATGAAAAAAACAACATCACCTGCCATACACAAAAAGCTACCATAAAATCAATTTGATGAGAACAGTGTTATCCAACTCCAGCTAGATGTGAAGAGAGCGAGCCCGATCCCCGTGACATCAGTAAGTGTTAGGAGAGGTGACGGGACCAGCAGCCACAGAGACTCTTTCTGTAGTCTCACCACGGGGATTGAAAGAGAGTCGAAGTTACGTTTCACTCTGATGCTGTGGTTGGGAGCCACAGAATCGCATCTAGTGCCCTAGGGCATGTGCCATGCACTTTGGGAAATTCCATTCGAGAGGATGGGTTTTCTCTTCTCTTCAGAAAGAACCCAGGTTCACCCACGTGGAGCTGGCTGTGTCATCTCTAAGCAACAAACCCAACAAACTCTGAAGTTCAAACCTCAGCACCAAGAAATGCTGCCTTCCAGAAAGAAATGCACTCACGTTAAGCAAAGTTTACAGAAGCTCAGGTCTCTTCATGAGCCATGTGGATTAATCCTTTTCCTGGGAATTTAGAAAATCCTAATGGAGCACATTCTGTGTAGAAATTTAGGGCAAAATCCAAACCTCAGAGGGATATAGGTGTCAGGTTGAGTAAGTAAGGAATGGCACTAAAGTTAGCAAACATGCACAACCTGAAATAGTATACTTTTAGGTAATTTCTGGAAATCGATTTTTGGCAGTGTGGTATTTTTTGGCAAGGAGGGAATCGCAGCCCTGTGGTCTTGAGCGAGCAGCTTTGCTGAGTGCCTGGGGCCCCGGCCCTCCCTGCTGTGTTTCAGTGGTGCCGAGCAGGGGATTGTGTGAGCAAGACGCCCATCCCGGAGCACGTGGACGGAGACTGGAGCCCGTGGGGCGCCTGGAGCATGTGCAGCCGAACGTGTGGGACGGGAGCCCGCTTCCGGCAGAGGAAATGTGACAACCCCCCGTAAGTCCCCCTCGCCCAGGCGTTCCCCAGTGGGCCGTGATTGGGGTTTCCCAGCTGCGGCTATCACTGCCTCCCGCAAAGCCCAGTCTGCCCCCCACTAAAAATCAGAAAGGAAGGGAAATAAAATCGAGCCAAGGTTCAGGGTGCAGGGGCCCTGTGTGTGTGTGCAAATGACATCTCAGCTTAAACAGCTCTTTCTGTGAACACGGATGCAGAAACCGTTCTATGCTGAGCTGGCTCCTTCATGCCTTGCTGGGGCCCTGGTGGAAGCGTTTCCCAAGATAGCTGATGACAGTCCCTCCCACCTGCTTCATGGTTTATGCAGTCGAGGGTCATTCTCAGGCAGCCTGTAGACCTTCAGGAAAGAGAAGCTGACATTCAAATTGGCTGTGAGCTGATCTGGGAGCAGCCTCGTGGTTCATGAGTCACAAAGTATCTGGGTTCAGCTGTCTTGTTCATCCAAATATTTTTCATGGGTCCTCCTAGATCTATTTGACAGAAATAAATGTTTTGGGTTTTTTTTTCCTCTTCAATTTCTTTTTATTGACTCTGAAGACAGCATGACCCTTCTTGTTCACCTTCGTGCAGATTCTCCAGAAAAATGCAGGAATAGATTTTGTGCACAGTTATACCAATGCTTTCACCACAGGTTTCTCCCTTCTCCTCTTGAAGTTTCCTATTTGTTTTGTTTTTTTTAATATTTCTCTTAATGATCTGTTTTATGCCTTGTGTGTCATCAATTGCATCACGTCAGTTTCGAAAACAAACAAGTCGTAAATCATGACTAATGAGAAATGACCACAGTTAGATCCTGTTGATGCATGCTTAGCAGATGCTTCTTGTGTTTGGAAATCCTGATGCCCAGGCTAGACCCCAGACCAGTGAAATCACAGACTGTGTGGGTGGGACCCAGGAATTGGGTGTTTTAAATCCAAACTCTGACTCCAGTGGCCAGCCACCATTGGGAACCTCCAGATTAAAGGAAAACTTGTGCTCACAGTTTAGGCAATGATGGGAACACCATCCTTTCCAGTAATGCTGTAAGAATTGGCATCGAGTATTATGTCTTATTAAAACCTTCCCCTCTAGAACCCTGCAGAGTACTTGGCACATAGTAGGTATTTAATCTGTTAGGAATGACTTCTTAATTAAAAGCATGGGTGGGCAGATGATTAGAAACCCTAGTTAGCTAAATGGTGAGAAATTAATAGAGAGTGGTTTCAGGTTTTACGTTTCTCTGTGTTGAAGTTAATAGTTTGACGTCAAGCCCTGCAAAGAGACCCTTGGGTTTGGATTCATGGAGCTGAGATTTGGGCCTGGCTTTGTTGGTTATTGGTCACATGACCAATAACCAACCCTTCTGTTCTCTGGCCTCAGTTCCCCCCTCAGAGGGAGCTGACTGGATAGAGTGGGAAGAGCCAGACTTCAAAGCCAGGGTAGACAAGTCTTCAAATCCCAGTGCGACTCCTTATAGCAACTGACGGCTGTTACTTACCTCTTCATCTAAAAATTGAAATAATTCATGAGAATGCATAGAAAACCTTGGTCTGTATTCAGTAAGTGGCCCGTCTCGTGGTTTACACTAACAGAAGAGCTGGGATGAGACCGCTTACTCTGCCCTGCCTACCCACAGAGCAATTTGCAGCTCAGAGGAGGGCCACTTAAGTGGAGAGGCTTTGTTAACTGCAGAGAGAAATTTGCAAGGGTTGTGGTTGTCATGAGTGCACCATGTTTGTGATTGGAGCTCATGGCCCTGGCCATAGATAGGTCCCCTTTGGCACATAACATGTTATCCCATGTCATTTACACCTTGTAAATGTCATAGTAGGAGGATAGCAGAACCACTAAATGCCCAAAGGACCCTATATCCCGAGACTGTCAGCATTTAGATTGTTTTAGGTGAGGGCAAGAATAAGGTGTTATCAATGCTAGGTGAATGCAGTAGGCACAACTTCTAAGGGACCCAGTATTGTCTGTTTTCTTGGGATGACACTGGCATGGTCATCCCCCTCATAGCCTAGAGGGGAGGCTCTCCCAAGCTTTGTGGCCTCATGCCTTGGCTGGACCCCATCACTGTCCCCACTATTCCTGGCCTTGCCTACCGTGGGTGCTCTGGGATACCACAGGGGCATTTTGCCACAAGAGGCTGCTAAAGACCCCCAAATTCAGCGAGTTGAGTGAGCATACCCTCTCTGGCCTGGACTGGCCTGCCGTGGGATTCACACATTGGGATTCTCACCCAGGCCATCCAGGTCCGGTGGCACCAGCAGGGAGGCTGTTGTGGAAACCACAGCGTTATTGTAAAAGTCTTTCATTCCTCCTCTTCCTCTGGCTCTCCCCTCTCCCCCGCCATGGTGGTTATGGCTTTTCTCTCTGTTGCTCTTCTTCCCGTGCATTGTCATTGAGCAGCACGGGAATTCGTAGGGCCACCGCACACTGGCAGTGGAGGGTTTGCGGGACTCAGCACATCAGATCGTTACGGGTATTGATGAACCTTCATGTCCAATGTGTCGCCCAGCGACACCCCTTGGGGCAGGGCGACTGTGGAAGTACTAGAGCGGCAGGCAATGCTCTCACTCCCCCCAGCCCGTGCTCCTTCCCCTGATGCTGAGGCCTCCAGTGAACCTTGCCAAGCCCGGACTCTGGACCCTGCCAGGTGTGGGCCTGTAGTGACAAGCAAACAGATAAAATCCCTGCCCACCCTCGAGGGGCGCTGTTGCACCAACTTCTGTGGTTTTCTCCCAGACACTCCAAACCTGGCACTTCTAAACTGTGACCTCCCCTCCCAACCCACTTACCCCTCTCAATAAATAGCACCACGTCCTTGCACTGCTCAAGTCCAGAGCCCGAGTCCGTGTGGCACGCTCTTGTGGCCCTACCTCCTCCACATCTGGCCGTGATAAGAGTGGTGAACACAGCAGGTCCTCACCGTGTGCCGGGTTCCCTTAGGCAGTTATGTAGTATAATAAATCACTGGATGCAGCCCTGTGCAAGAGGTAGTATTTTTATCCCCATTGTACAGAGAAAAGCTAAGTCATGGAGAAATTAGGTAACTTACCCAAGGTCACACAGTGAGACGGTGGCAGGCCAGGTTTGGAACCCAGTTCTGGAAATCAGAGGTCCAAAATCAAGGTGTCAGCAGGTTTGGTTCCTTCCTGAAACTCCGCAGGGGAATATTCCCCCTGCCTCCTGCGGCCTCTGGCGGCTGCCAGCAATCTTCACCCTCTTGGCTCATAGACGCAGCGCTCTAATCTCTGCTGCCGTCTTCACGTGGTCTCTTCCCCGAGCATCTTCTCACCTTTTCTTCTCTTAGAAGACTTGTCATTGGATTTAGGGCCCACCCTAACCCAGGACGATCTCATCTCAACAGCCTTAACCTAGTTACATCTGCCAGGACCCTTTCCAGTTAGACAGGTCAACCCACCCAGCCTCAGAGCCTCCTTGCTGCTCGACCACAGCGTTCCAACCTCAGGACTCCAACCTCAGGACCTTCACGGCGCTCTCTTCCCTCTCCCTCACTCGCCTCCACCCCTCTTTGGGTCTCAGCGTAAGTGTCTTCTCGAGAGTTCTTGTCCCTGACACCCTGCTTAAAGTGGCGTGCTCTCCCCAGCACCTCTCCCTAACGCGGCAGGCGTTGTAACAGTCAGTTATTGCTGTTGTGTGTTTGCTTACCTGTTCCTTCTCTGTCCTCCCCACTGGCCCTAAGGCTCCAGAGGCCTGGGACAGGCCCCACCTGTTTGGATACCGTCCTACCTTCCGTGCCACTCCATAAAATGTGCTGAACGCCTTCCTGGGCATGTGCTTGTCCAAGAAAAGCAATCTCTGCAATTCCAGTGCCCCAAACACATCCCTAATATCATCTTCCTCCTGAAACACAAAGGTTATTGTAGATTATTAGGCCAATAAAGCAGATCCCCAGGCAGGCCTCCTGCCCTTGTGTCACGGATGGCCTCCCAGATGCTATGAACGGCCACGTGAGGCCCGTCCGTCCATCGCCCATGCCTGCCCTGCCCCACCCCAGAGAGGTTGTGCTCGCAGTCAGGGGTGCTCAGCACCGTCTCAAGCACAAGCTTTAGTGTGTAATCCAGCCTCGTCTATCCCGAGTCAGAGAAACGATGTTTTTGCTTCTACGATCCGCACCCTTTGGTAGTCTGTCTGATCTTTCGCAGTGACAGTGTGGCTGTTTCCCATTCTAAACAAAAACAGCATGCTCTTTTTCCCCTTGTAGTTTTCTATAAAGCGTCTCACCTTCATGGATCCAGCCAGGTGAACGGGAAGGCACGGGGCAGGCTTTGGGGGTTGGATGAGCAGCCACCTTGGGTGCTTCCTGGAGAGACGCAGGACGTGGACAGTGTTTTATGAGGTCCCGGCTGCAGTCTCCCGCCTGCTTCTGCACCACGGCCTGATGTGGTGATTGTTACAAAGCACAGCTGACCGAGGCCTGGGGGCCAATCTCTGACCAAAACAACGTCCTCTCCCCGTCTCACTCCTTAAATCACCGGCCTGCTGCCTTGAGATTTTATAGGATGTCCAGACCTCATTGCTGTCTGCGTCTCAGGCTTGGAACGCTCCCACCCCGCCCCCACCCCTTCACTTTATATTCCTGGCTCCGTTCCCGTCTTCTGCAGCTGGCTTATTCACTGTCCAAAAATACTGGCAAGAGAGTCCCCCTCCCCACACTTTTTTTCTAGTCTTGGTCATGACAGCTATTAGAATTTTTATTTTTTGTCGCTGACCTTGAGGCCTTGGGGACCTTCTGTGTTTTCAAACCAGCTTCCTAGGCTCATCTTTTCCTGCCATAGTTTGTGTCGCCGTGGGTGGGAGTTACACCAAACAACTGCAAGGTAGAAAATGCATCTCTAATTCGCATTCCGGTACCTCATCGCGGGCTTGTGTGTGGGGAGGGCTGGGGAGGAGGCCTGGGAGAAAAGCTCAGGGGCAGGCGTGTGAAAAGCCAGCTCCGCCCCAGCACGTGGAGGCCATGCAGGCAAGGGAGGTGC